TATCCATGGTAATGCCCAGACCCAGGCTCAACTGGCGGGTCAGGGTTACCAGTATGAATCGCAGTCGGGCGGTTGGGCCAGTCGATCGGATCCCTATGGAGCCTACGCACCCACGGGTCAGTTCACCGATAGCCAGCCGGTGGGAGCAGTGGCCGGAGAGGTGCCCAATACCACGGATCCCATGTCCCTGCTGCCCACAAAGTACCGGGCGAGACGCCTCATCCGCTGAGCCAGAGCTGCTCCTTCCACCCATGATGGGAGTTCCATGATGGAAGTCAACGACCACCGCGTTTAATTAGCTAGCACACATTTAGTCAGCGACTTTACGAGGACGCAGCTTTACGTACACCTAAAACTATAGTTACGAGTCTAGTGTTTAATTAAATTATTTGCCCCCAAGTAGACCTAAAATGAATGATAATTTGTAATAAATAGTATAATACATTATACCCATATAAAAGAGATGTGTGCCACCGTTTGTTTGAGCTAGCCGAAACAATTACCCCTTAAGAGCCGGAAGATCGTGATTGATGGATCTGTGAAGAAAGTCCATTGGTTCGGTTCGTTTTCGGCTGAGCTTTCTGGGGGTCTGTGATTAATTGGGACTTTGACGGGTCTGCCACCGCGGAGATTTCTTTGGCAACATCGTCGGGCGTGTGCTGCGCCTAATCATCGACTTTATCGCAAACATTGAAATGGAAGTCCAAGTCATGGCTTGACATTGCGGATTTCGTCGATGTTGTTTTGCGGCCTTTTTTCGGTAGCTCGGAGGCTAAAAAAGATATTCCCAAAAGCCCAAGCCAGACATATCCAATTATGCTCAATTATTATGGAGTGCATAAGTCGATTTGTTTATTAGCAACTACAGAAAGGGGCTCAACCTCATCATATTTCCATTTCGCTTCATTTACTTCAAATATTTGCACAAAGTGAAAGATTCCTTGGCTTAATATGGCAAGAAATGGTTAAGGTTGAGTAATTGCTGGCTTTCATACAACGCCATTTAGTAGATAGAGATATTATATCGGTTAGTTTGAGTTATGATTGATGGATTAGAGCTGCTACTATGTATGGTGTTGGCACAAAAAGGTGTTTAAAAATCGATTTTATACTAATTTTCTGACTAAAAGAAAAATCTTATTAAATCTCTTATTAAATTGCAACATTTAAATAGGATTATAAGTTATTCCTTTTGAGAAGTACTTCATTTAAGGGTAATATACTTATATATATATCACCCATACAATTTCATTTTGTGTTTTAAAACTGACTTTAATGAATATTTTAAAATTAAATTAGCTAAGTATTGAAATAAATCTTGGAATAAGAGCTATAAGCTATAAGGTAAAATATTCGAAACCTCTAACGTTGCCAGATGGTCTTAAATATTTATATTATCTAAGTTTAGCTTAGATAATGATTGGTTCATGTATTCGCTACAGATAAAACCCCAAAAGAGTGCCTTACAATTCAATTGATCCGCAAAGTAGGCACCACATTTTCCCCCAAACATCCCCAAGTTCGTGCCCTAAGTCTTTTGATTTACCAGCATTAAAAAGCACTAAAAAGCTCAACACGCTCCACAGGTGGTATGATGAATATTAATATTAGCAAGGACCTGTTAATTAGCCCACATAGAAAGTGAGGCCAGAAGCACTTGACAAGCAATTAAGCACTTTTAAACGACCAAGTGCCGCGCATATTTAAGCCGAACAAGATTGGGCCAACGGCGAGGTGATCGATAAATATATATCTTGGGCAATTAGAGCCGCACAGACAGTCGGGGGAGCATGTAATGACCATCCCCAGATCTCAAGATCTCCCCATTCCCCTGCCATTGTGGATCTCCAAAGGCGACTGGTCGGCTGGCATTATGGAATCTTGCTCGCTGACTGATTTATAAGAGGACATAGACAGAGCATAGTGGACGTGGACCTGGCCAAGATGCGGCGGTGCCAGCCATTAGCCAGCCGTCATAAGTGTGGGCCGGTGACGTTGGACTTGAGTGACGAGTCGAGTCGAGACAAGGCGATTCCAATCCATAGTGATGTCTTCTTTGTCGGCAGGCGAAGGCCTTGCCTTAGTCGAGCGTTTCAATTAATTAGTTAGCCGTGCCAAAAACAAAATGGCGCTACTGAAAAGCCACTATTGATAAGGCCAAACCAGCAGTAAGAGCAAAATATAATAGCTAGACGACTACAAAGTAGAAATAAATAAAAATGCACATTGAATTTCTCTGGTCTTTGGCTTTGGCTTTGACTTTGGCTTTGGCGGCTTTCTAACGCACAGCAGCAGGCCAATTGCGATTATTGAAATACTCCAAAGGTTTTTTCTGTCCATTTCATTTGGTGGCCTAGCCGGCTTGGAAGCGACAAATCATGAGCATCGACAGATGCACCACAGCCAGCATCTTTGTCTCCACCACATATACTCGTACTGTATATATAAAATGTGGATAATTGCGTCTAACTGACAGCCAAGACACTGGGCAGCTGGAGGTGCACGAGGAGAAAATAGCACATTAATTCAGCAGGGAATAGCTTAGATATTTGGTAGGTTATAATGGTGAATAATAATATTAACTACCTACATCGACATGGAAAATAAAAATTTTATTCGAATTCGGAATAATAATAAATAAAAACTTAAAATTAATAATATTGTTATCTTGTTCTATTTATTTATCTCCCATTTAATAAACATTTAAGTTATGATTTAACCCATTAATATAGAGAAATAAATTATAAGAATATACTTTCATATAAGAATATAAGTATATAAGTACAGAGCTCCATATTATGACGGAGGAAATATAGAATGTAGTATTTCGAAATATAGAATCCCAGTTTGGTAATAACTGAACTTCTTGGATCTCTTTAAACGAGTTTTCTGATTTTTTAACCTACATTAAAAATACGGAGTTATTGGAAATGAATGTTATTTGTAATGTGTGATCTCTAGTTTTATAAAAATGGGAAGTGTGTGATCTTATAAGCACTTTTATTTACTATTTCTTTCCATGTATGAGTCTAAACCGGGAGTGGGGGTTTGGAGACGTGCTGTCAGCGGACCTGGCCGCTCTCACTCTCCTTCTAACATGATAATTGGACATGGCCTGGGAACAGGTATGGGAATGGGTATCGTATCTACGTCAGCTACCTTATAGTCACATACATCTACCAACTACCTTTGGCGACATCTTTGGCAGCCCTATGTCTCCTTAATTGCCTGTCGCCTGTCCCGCTGAAAGTGAAATTGATATACGATAAGCGACAGATACGAGTGCCCACATATAAACCACCTTTCATCACGAATTCTTCGCTAATTCGCTGCTCACAATGGATAATTTCGTAATTCCGGGGGCTAATCAAAAATTCGGGCAGTGTGCGAGTGCGTTGACCAAATGCGATTGGGGATTGACTCGATTCGGTCACACCTCGTTCCAAAAACTTCATTCCGACAATATCAATAAGTTGTGCTAACTTTCTTTTTGTACGTGCCCATGGTTTTTCAGATGGCGCCCTGCGATATTTACTCTTTATAAGATCAGACTGTGACGCAGACCCAGCCCTTATACATAAATAGCATTAGTTTGCGAATTGTCAAAATCAATTATGGGCTCGACTTGGGTAAACAGCTAGAAAACTTTCATTTTTCATTTGCTCGACAGGTGAAAGAAACGTGACTTTTCACAGCCAGAATTTATCAATGATGCAACTGTCTCTTGGTTTGCCCAAATTTGGTTAACAAATCGTTGATGCAATACTTGAAAGGTGCTAATGAATTTCATTAGGAAAAAGTTAAAAGTGATGAAGGGGTATGTTAAAAACCTAGTTTGTTTTTTCTCTTTATGCTAACTCATGTGGGTTGAAATTTCTTCACTGTTGGGAGGAAAATTTCCATGGAACAGGCACCTTTTTGACCCAGTACAGGATTTGCATCTGCCATACAAGCATTTCGCCAAAGGATTAGCATCTCACGAATGACTTTCCAATGATATCTGGGAGTTCATGTGGCAGAAGTGGCAGTGAAAAGAGGAGTTCATCTTGTGGGTTATTCATGGCATTCATTGATGATTGATGCAGATTATTCAGTCGTCTTTTACTCAACATTTGGGTATTGATTTAATAGAGCTTGGACAGGGGATGTGACCTTTTTTAGTTAGTTAAGATCTTTCTTAATGGTTCATTTAATAAGTGGTATTAAAAGTCCTTTACATGATTTATATAATCAATGTAATTTATTTAATTATTTTAAGTTTACTGTTACTACATTAAAAATTGTAAATATTTTAAACACCCCAAATATGTTTTTTTACATTTTTTTTAAAGTGTATAGTCATTACTTAGATTCATTATTTAAAATTGGATTTAAGTTGCTTTTTGGAACTCTGGCCTCTAATCAATTAAAATCATTTTCTGTTAGTTACTAAACAATCGTCTTATTTTCTATTCTTCTAAGAAAAGGCTTAATATTGCTATTTAATTTATAGGATTTTATTAGCTTAGCTTACAATAAACACCCATCAAACAATACCTTAATGAAATGTGACTCTTTTGTTTAAAGTGAACTGAAAACAAAGCTTTTGTTTTTGGCTCAACAGGCCGGCACAATACCTGCGGAATAGCTCCCTGCGTAGGTCAAGTCAGGGTTCGTTGGTTCACATATGACCCCGTGTAACGAATCCCCCAGAGAATTCCCCCCAAACCCATATCGCAGACTCTGGTGACGCTCGAAATGCGCATAGCGGACAGCTTAATTGATCCGTTTGTTCAGTGCATGCCGCAAATTTGCTAAAATCCAACAAGTCAATAGCCAGATAGCCAGGTAGGTAAGGTAACCAGGTAACCAAGCGGTGGGCTCTCTTTTGGCCACCTTGGCTGCCAACTTTCCAAAGAGCCACGCCATGAGCGCTTTCACATCGCACTCTCTTAAGTCGCGCTTTGGTATAAAACTTCTTACGTATGCGCGTCATGGCTTAATCTTACCTTGAACTTGGTCGTGAGCAGATCGCTGAAGAGCCAGTGCATCCACCAGATACTATTATATCCATATCCATAAACATATTCGTGTTCGGCTTTTCGATTCGGGTTTTTTGGAAAATAGACTTTAAAAATGGAACAAAGCGCCGTTGTTCTTCTGCGTGCCGATAAGTGTATATGAATCAAGAGTGTTTGTGTCCGAGTGTTTGTTGACTTTGGTTTCTTGAGACATTTGATTTCTTCTAACGGTGCTAGTGTGATATATTATATATCCGTATCGAAGATAACGAGAGAGAAGGAGGCCTATACCATCTGCAAAATGGACTGGCAGCCAACCATTATAGCAGGCCTGATCTGTCTGCTCCTGCCAACGCAGATTTCCTTGGCCAAGGCCTGGAGTTTGCCATCCCGCCATTCAAATCAACTGGCTTTAAATACAGCACCTGTTGGCCGACGATTAAATGGTAAGACAGTTCCAGCTCTGAAATCATATGAGTTGACTTTAAGACTCTCTCGCAGCGCCCGAAAATTTCTCTGTATTTTTTTTCGTTTGTAATATAACGAGCAATGACCAAGCAGACAAAGAAACAAAACATAAACAAAGGCCTTAAGTAAAATACTTTTATTGCAGTGAAATTTTGGTTCATTAAGCTACCTGTGAGAGTGGCGATTTCTGTGTTCGGCAATTATATAATCGGCCAGCCGCCAAACGAAAGTCGCCACTGTCACTGCCTCCGTCAAAGAATCGGAAAAGATTTATGAGCCTCTCGAGTGGCCACAGATCCGTCAGAGCCGTCGGAGCTGCCACATTAATCTTGGCCAGACAACTCTTGACTACATGAAGAAAAAATCATAAATGTATCATTTTCAACTAACCATTTTCGTAGTTTCAACCTCAAAAGAATAAACAGAGTTCATAGAGATTGAAAAAATCAATTTAAAGTTAGACCTTACTGTATATCAAGTGGAAACATACCTATTATATAGTACATATATTATAATTTAGTTATTGTTGAAAATTAAAACATTTGAGAATGTATCATAGAATTTATATTAATTTTTTTTTTTAATATAAAAGGAACATTTAAATTCACATTGTACCTGTTACTTGCCTTTATAATGCCTTTCGTAAACAACTTTCATCAAAGTATCTACAAACTATTATTTTATAATGATGTTGAATTGATGATGTTAAACAATGCAAAAATATAATAAATATTTGTTTAGTGCTTTGTTAAACATTTTAATTACATTTATAGTACGAAAACATGAAGGTGATTATAAAATGTAAGAAATATTATTAGGGCTTTGTTTAAAAAAATGTTGAAGATGAGAAAAAGCTACAAAGATCGTTTACTTAAAAACATAATTGAATAAAAATTGCGAGATCTTACAAGACTACCTCCACATTTTAAAGAACCTTATCAGAGTTTTCTCTATGTGCAGCCATTGGGTGACTTCCATGGGCAATGCAGCATAACAAAGTAGTTCGCAAGCGAGTATGTTCTTACCATTTTGGATCTGTTACGTTATGGAGCGTACGACACTTTTTACTTGGACGCTGCTGTTTTGCTTTTTCATCCGCCGGCGTTTTTGTTTAAAAAGTAAAAAAGTTAAAGAGCTTCGAGTGCATGGCGAACAATTAGCAAAGCAGCCAAGGCAACAAGTGCAAGAAGGCATTACCGAAAGAAATACACCTCGTTGTCGTTTAGGGCACTTGGCGTCTCGATCTGCTTCTGAGCATGTAATATGGGTCATAACCAACTAAACCAGAACTGAAAGAAGGGCGGCTGGTTGGGTGTTACGATAGACATAGGCCGCGCTGAATGTCGAGTCATTAAAGAACTGCCAGCGAAACATGAATTAACGTTTTGCTCGCTGATTAAACGAATATCAAATACACTTGAACTAAGATAAGTAAATTTAATAAGGAAAGTCACTTGGGGGAAATTAGGGATAGAGTGGGGGTATGTTAAATAATTATCCAGCTAGTTGATCTTGATAATGTTTACTATGGAAATTCTTACTGTCGTATATCATGTTGCACACTCATTTTGATAATAAGTTGAATATCATTTTTTTAGATATAGTTTTACTAAATAAAGAACCTAAGTTTATCTTAACGGCTAAAAAAATAGTAAATACTTTTAGAAAAGGAGTACTTTCCCTTTAAAGATCGTTAAAATGAATGAGTTTTCACTAAGAGGAAAATTGTATATGATGAATCTACTTAGTATTGGGGCAAAGACTTCTACCTTAAAATATTCTATATAAAGATTGATTCATTCGTAATCAATTTAGCTAAATAACAAAAAGGAATACTTATATTGTATTCTTTGTATTTCTAACTACATACTATATATGCATCCCAAAGATCTTCACCAAGCCCCTAAATTATTCATTAGGCCCACCTCCCGAAGAGCAACACCTGTAAAAGTCACAATAACAACGGCAAGGCAAACAATAAGAATGGATAAACAGCCGTCCAAAAACAAGTTGATGTCTTAGTCGCGATACTCTCGGATTCAGTTGGTGTTGAGCCAACCCAAAGGGAACCATGAATATATATGGAGGAGCAGGGGAAAATACCAGGGTCTCCATTTCGGGGAGCTTGTACAAATTGTGCCGACACCAAAAAGCCAAGCGAGGCGCAAAAACAACAGACAAACTTGAAAAACTCTCGTAATTGGGTTATAACCGTCATATTTGTATGTGAGAGTGTCCAAGACGAGTCACCTACTATTTAAATAAGCCCGGTCCGAACGGGTCTGACTGACCAAGCTGAGCAAACTGACCAAACAATGCCACTGGAAACCATGGCTAAGTTAAAATCGCTCCTAAACGGAGCAACATTGGTGACATTTTTGGTCGAAGCGAAGAAAAATGAAAAGTGCTGCTGCTTCACTGGAATGAAATCTAATTTCATTTTTTAATTGCCGCTTTTGTGGCATCGTGTTGCCATCGGCATCGGCATTGGCATTGGCATCTTGCCCAGTTTGGCAGCGAAATGCGGCTGAAAAGATGGTCAAAACTGGAGCGGCATGAAGCTGTTACTACGTCTCCATCTGTCAGGTTTGAGTCGCCACTGGGTTTCTGCGTAGGCATTGAGATTTGGATTACAATTTCAGTTGCAATGCCACACAGGGAAAAATGTGGAAATATTTCCTTGATTGGTCAGCGAATACTTCTCACTTAATAAAAGAAAACCTGATCCTGAAGTGTATATGCACTCTGAATGGAAAGACCTAAAATATCTTCATATTTTTAGGAGAAACTTGTAAAAACTAAGAAAGCATTTTAAGACATTTAATATTAAAATTGTAAGTAAATCATAGAGTCTTTAATTAGAATTTTAAAACTATATAAAATAAAATATTTGACATCAAGACATGAGATTCTCCTAGCATTTATCATCAATTGAAGGCAAGGCTTGCCTTAAGCTACAGAAAGTTTTTAAAATATATATTTACATCTGGGGAAAATTTAAAAAAATGATTGAATCTTGTTGATAGGAATATCTATCTATGCTATCTTTTTTCCCGGTGCACCCATCGATTTGCCTAGCCAAAGTAGAGCTCTAATCAATAAACAACATGTGTGGGGTTGTTATTCAAGTTGTAGTTGGCGGCCACGTCTTGTTTGGATCTTGAGTTTGTGTTTAACTTTGCGGCTGACTTTGTCGACAGCGGTGTCTTCAATTCAAATTCTTCGCCAGATCGAAACCAGTGAAAGTTTATTAAAGTTTCAAGCTCGACGGAGCTCACATGTCTATATGTCTGCTGGGTCGCACGCTAACGGTTAAGAGTGCCATATTGTTCCGTCCGATTTCTATAATGGCCGTAAAATTCTTTTGTAATGAAGTCTGAGATGTTTTAAATGCTGAAACCACTAGATCATTGTATTTAATTTAGCTAGCCTAAAAGATTTTTCAGGCATTTAAATGGAGAGTGCTTGCTGTAGCTCAAACAAAAATAACAATTTTATGACTTCTATTTTTCCAAAGCCTATAGGCTTTAGTTTGTAAAATAATTAAATATTTTTTAAAAGGTTTTTAAGATTAATCTTGCAAGAGTTATTAACTAGAAAGAGAGCTAGTACTCTCTAAGAATTTATTTATATGATATATATTAGAGCTTATTTCCAAGGGCACTTTTTTATATTGAAATTAGTCTTCCAAGGCAAGCTCATTTAAAAATTATCCTCTAAGCCTTCACTTTCAAATGAATTTATTTTTTATAACTAATCCAATGGAAAAGCTATGAATAAGCCCTAGGCATTACTGCTTTCATATCAAAAAAATAAAACATGTTTTATAAAAAATACTAAAAGAAATTGGTTTTCATTTAAATATAACCCCCAATCCTTCAATTCACTTTCAAATGCCGCACACGATGCACCGCAGCCACATTTCATGTTTACAACTTTATCTGGCCAAACAAAATTACTCAGAATTCCGAGTGATTATGGTAATATTTTACGAGCTACTGTTATGGCCTCTCCTCAGGCGAAGTAAATTAGCCAAATGGCCGGAAAGTTAGCAAGTTGGCTGGTTGGCTAGTTGGCCCACATGGCCAGCAGTCCAGCAGCAGTTTACAGTTGCCTGTTACAGCCCGGGCTTAATACTTATAAGTATGTCCCAGGTATATGTAAATTCGTCACCCATCATCAAACCAAGGCCTAGTATTTGCCATTACCCATAACTATAAGTAAGCCACGCATAAACCTCAACTGCAGTGAAAGTTCATTTGATATTGAACATTAGCTGGGCCAGGGACTATTGGCATTGCCATTGGAATTACCATACGCCCTGCGCCAACGAAACTGTGAAGAAAAGTGAAAAGACCAGCGAAATCATCGGTCCAAATGGCAAATGGCAAAAGGCAACTGCCTTGGCCAGAATGGCTACTAAGCAGCTCCCAAGCTGCTGAAAATAATGTGCCACATTTGCCCGCCAAAAGAAGACAGCCGCCAAATATCGAAGATGCTCGCCGGGGAGTACACTTAGAAAAATAATTATCAAAGGCATATAAATTAAAAAAAGTTCAAGCATTCAAAGTTGACTTGCGACTATTTTTTTAGAAATTCTTTAGACTTTTATAAAGATATTTGGAAGAATTTCGAAACCAAAAGTGTCTAAAACGTTTTTATTAAATTTTAAAATCTTTAGAAATTACAAAAAAATTTTAATGAACCTAACTGTTCTTAAAAATTGTAGTACAAATTGATCTGTAATATTAAAACCAGTGAGTTTTTAAAATCGTTTAATTAAGTTTATAATTCTTAAAATACAAAAACATGAAATATTTTTTAAAACATTTTTTTTTGTTGACATATATTTTGAGAGCATATGTCAAATAATTTTTGCTTTAATATAAAATGACCCTCGGTGATATTTTCTTCAAGTGCATCACGATATGGCTTTCTTTGAAAATCCCCAGTGGTCGATTTCCCTGCCTCCTTGGCACTCCCTGCTCCCTAACTCAGTGCATTCTGGCACAGGTTTTCCTAGTTGTTTTTCGGTTGTTTCTCGGTTGTTTTGCGGCGTGGGTTGAATTTAGCAGGATGTTATCTGTGGGATGTCACCACGAGTTTCAGGTAAACAATTTCTCACAGGCTGGTACCTTTTGGCATCTCCTGCTGGCTTTCACCCGGCGGCATTGAATTTGGAAATATTAGCAAAGCCTTGGGTCAAAGTACGCGATGTCCGTGTGTCGGTGTCATTGAAAGTGAAATGAGCCAAATAAATTGTGACAAAGAGACAACAAACGACATGAGAAATTCCACACGAACCGACATTAAATTTTCACTTATCACGACTCTGTTCATGTTGCAACATGGCAATTAAATCAACAAAAGGCCTAAGCAAATACTAATGAATTTAAGTAGTGGTGTAAATAATTGCTCAATTTGTACGAAAATATGGAAATTGTGTGTCATTAGTGAGGGGAAAAATAATAATGCCTGGGAACAAACAACTATAATAGCGCCAGACTTTGTATAAGAAAGTATATCAAACACTTTAATTTATTACATTGTTGCATTACCCACCTTAACCTACCTTACCTTTTTGTTTTAGTATTTTAATCATAAATCATACCAACTCTTCGAATAACTTTCGGTTTCGTATTTCAAGTAAAAGCATTTAAGATTTCATTAGCGTCTTTGTCAGCGAGACAAATTAATGTGTTCCCAATTAAATGGGCTCGAATTAAGATGCGATTAAGATGGACGGGCAGCAATAATTTTAATTGACGGCAATCGCTGAGCATTTTCCCTCGATCGCTGATTGATGGCAATCTATGATGTTAACTAAAACATGGCTCGCGCCGTGAACAAGCCGGGTTATCGGGCATCCAGAGGGGGGCCAAAATGCATTTGCACGCACCACACATCGGTGGTGCAGCGTGGTTAGCACCACCGGGCCAGAAAAACCACACAAGGTGTTGAAATGATTGCCCAGTGGTACTGGTCACATATGCTTTCACTCAAATATTTGCAGTGGCTGGAAATCGCCACATCCATAGACCATAGCCGAGTTAAAGCCATGACCATGTTAGACATTTTAGCCAAATTAGACCACAAATCCCCACTGAGCTTGCCCGGAAAGTCAGACAGAAAGTCAGTGGGGCTGTCAATCGCAAGTTTACCCAATTGGTTGGCAGTTTTCCATTAAATATTTGTCCAGTTTTGCTTCATATTTACGCTGATCTCCATGCTCTGTGTCTCCGCAGAGGTGTCCCCATATCTGGACCTGGCATTGTGCCCCATTCGAGCGGAACCCTGGACCTGTGCTCGTCAGCAATCTGGACGGATACTGGACGCCTGGGATGGAGAACTACATCTCCAGTGGCAGAAGCTAAAAGGTGAGCCAAATAAAAAAATTTAAAAAAATATTCAAACTAAATATAACCATTGACATAAAAGTTCAAGCAGAATATTGAATATATTTATGACTAAAGTAGGTACCTTGAATTTAAGTTATATTATTTATTGTGCACCTAAAAATTAAGCCAGAATATTTTTGAATTTGTTCTTAATGTATTAAAAATATTCTCATCAAATAATTCAATTTATGCAATTGTTAGGGCATACAGTTAAACAGCTTAGGCTTAAAATATAAATATATTTATGACTTAAAGTATTTAGTTTACTTTCAATTGTTACTATCTGCAAGTGCTTAATCTTTTCATTGACAACATTTTTCCCACGTATGTGGCCATACAAAAATCTAGGCAAAGAAAAGCTGGCATTTTCACCGACCCCCGAAGGTAAACTTAAAGTTCAAACGGCTATTCGTGGGTGAGAATCAAGACAAAAGACCAGCCATGCGATAATCAATGACTTTAGGGGAGTTGGTAGGAAATTGCACACGCAACACCTAAAAAACTGCCAACGTGCTAGGCATTTACATGAAAAACCAATTAAAATCGAAAGCATTTTCTTTTTTCTTAAATGTATTTCCACTTATTTTTCTATTTTTTTGGGACAGTCGAGGCCGATCGTCAGATGAACGCGACGATTGAGAGACGCGGCTACAGCACTTCGGAGTTGCCCGTGAAAGAGAAGCCATCGACGATACTAAAGAAAATTGAAATTGGCACGAATTATATGAAGAAATACCTGGCCGAGTCCATGGATGGGTGAGTGTGTGGCCAAACGAGTTGAATGCACATTTTCGCCAGAGTTTTCATTCCTTCCTGTTTTTTCTATTTTTACTGTTTTCAACTGTTTTTCGCCACCACCTGCAGCTTCCTGGGACGCGAATACGAGTATTTGCAGACGCCGAAAGCTGCAGATGATAATGATAGTGAAACCGATCAGAGTGGAAATAGTGTCGAAGACGACGACGAGGCGGATGCGGCGGATGATGCCAGTAATGCCGCTGAGGAGGAGGAGAACGCGGATGACGAGGATGCGGAGGCCAACAAGGAGGAGGAGGACGACGATGACAACGACGACCAGGACCAGGAGGATGAGGATGAGGAGGATGACGACTCGGACAGCACTGGGGAGCAGGAACAGGATAAGGAGCCCGAGGCCGACGGTGACGCCGAAGACGAGGATGTGGATGAGGCGGTATCTGCACCTGAGAGTGAAAATGAAAAGGAAAACGCACCCAGTGTCTTCAGTGGTACGCCCGCAGCGCAACCTCAAAGTGATGGAAAAAATCCCGTCCTCACCGAAGACAACACTTCAACAGGTACTTTTTTGTCTTTTCTTAATAAAATTATAATTAATATTGGTAATAATAATATCCATTTGCATTAATAACAAATTTAACAATGAAGAAAACACTACTATCAATTAGCTGTTTGTATCTTATTTAACCAAATATCTAAATATGATAACCTCAATTTGAAGGTATCTCTCTATTTTCTTTCTTATCTCAAAAAAAAAAATTTTTAATTTTTTAAAAAGATATGTTACAAATTAAATTTAAGTTACTAGAAGATTTCCATAATGGTAAAAAATGGGTTTCAAAACATCCTAATTCGATATTAGCATAATTCAATTTAGTTCTGTAAAAAAATTCGTAACCCATCAGGGAATTCCAACTTCTCATAAAATCGAACTCTAAAAGATTATTTGTGTGGAGTTGTTCCTTAAAACTAAATATATTTTAAATTCCTTTTTCAATACACCTATAAAATATATTCTATTTCCCTCTACCAGGTGTGGAATTCATCGAGCTGGAGGACGCCGAGGAAAATGCGGCGGGTGCACTGAAAAAACCCGGGGGTGGTAAGCGAAAGAAGAACAAGAAGGGCGGCAAGCGCAAGAAGAACAAGAAGAAGGGTCATGGTCAGGAGACGCAGCCCGCCACCCTGGTGGTCGTCCAGGCGGCACCAGAGCACCATGAGTTCGACTCGGGACACGAAAGTGGATCCTCGGTGGTAAGCCATGACCACGATGACAACGAGGAGTCAGTGGGCAAGCCAATGAAGAAGCGGAAGCACAAGCGCCGCATGAAGGGCAAGCGGAAGCAGAAGCGCAAGGGTCAACACGGGTCAACGTCGGTGGTGGAGCACGAGCCGAGCGACCTGAGTCTGGGACTGGGACTCCTCGACGAACTGGCGGATGCGGATGATGTCTTCTCGGGAGTCGGCGGGGGAAAGCGCAAGCACAGGAACCCACTTAATTATGGTAGAAGTAACGGAGGTGTGTGTTGTTTGCTGCGTGTGGTTTTACATGACTTTTGCGCACCTTTTTTCCAAGCACAACTTAGTGCCTTCTATGTCTAAGTATCCAGTTTTTTAGGGTAACTTAAATACAGATCTTTTTCGGTGAACCCAACTTTGCCGAAATGATGTTTTAAGTGTCTAAAGGCATCATAAAAACATCACAATGATTATGATTTTTAATAGGATTTTCCTAATTTACCGAAAAATTTCTGAATTTTAAGTCTTGGTTTATTTACAAAGTTATAAAAATTAATGGTGGTGGTGTCAATAATGTTAAGAAATGTGATATTATTATTTAAGTTACTTTTATGTCTAAGTTTCCAGTTTTTTAGGGTTATCAAAACACAGATCTCTTTCGGTAATCCCAACTTGGCCGAAAATATGTTTGAAATGCCTATTTTGAAACTGCATTTTTCGGTCTGGCAACGCTTGATTCTTTTAATTTCTGAGAAATTTTAAAATATGGCTTGTGTCCATACTAATTTTAAAAATTTATCAATTTCTATGAAAGCACAGTGGCGCCATCTGGACGGCACATGTAGGAAAATTACTTTACACAGTTAGCTGTGTAGATGGCGCTGCTTGAGTACCTCAGTAAGGCGCCAGATTTGAAGTTGACTTTAAGCTTTCTTATGAAACATTTTTTTAAGTTTAGGAAGGTCATGTAAATTAATTAATGAAATTGTTAAGTTGAAATGTGGCTTAATTAATAAGTTTTTGGTTTAAGTTTTAATTTTATTGCCTGCTTTTTGCTTGCTTTTTGAATGCCGTTTCGTTATCGTTACCGCACCTAACGCGCACTGCAGTTCATACTAACAAACACCACCCTCCCAAGCGAAGAATTAAATATTATTTGAGTTTTTTGTTCCATTTAGCCAAGTAAGTTCGAACAAATGAGAACAAAATGATACTAATACCACCAAATTCCCCCTTAATCATCTATTACTAAAAAAAACATATAGTGACCCGTGGCAAGAAGAAGAAGAAGAAGAAGGCCATCGCCAAGTTCATAATGATTGGCAGTTTCTTGAAAGCCAAAATCGAACTACTGCTGAAGATCCTGGGCGCCCATCTGCAGGTCAAGTTCTTTGCCATAGCCCTTATCGGTCTGCTGATCAATATAGCCCGATTCTGGATCGATGTAAAACGGGGCAGTCCGCCCTCTAAGGTGAGTTGAGATCGGGTCCCAGATCCTGTGAGTTTGTTCCCGGGCATTTAACCCGTTTTTAACGTACCGACACACACGAACATCTGTTCAGGTTGATAGACCAAGGTTCTCCCGACTCTAATGGATTTTCTGCACTCTTTCAGTTCTGATAAGAATGCCTTACACTAGTCATAAGTGAACAACAATTTTTATTGGCCAAGGTTTGTTATTGACGCTTTTTGTTGACCAACTAAAAAGCGCAGCTCTCACTTTTATATGTGCACAGAAAAATATTCCTTTGTATATTTTAAACTTTTGATCAATTTTTTTTATAGGATCTGTTTTATTTCGATCTATTTCTTACAATAAGTATAAACCAAAGATCCATTTTTAAAGCATTGAAGTAATATCAATTACACATTTATGTTTTTGTATATATTATAAAAACTAAGATTTCTTTCTATCATCTATAAATTTTGTTGCCTATATTAAACTCAACCCTATGAAGATCATCTATTTTTCTGTGTACCTCTGCTAATCTCTATCCACCCGCCCCTGCGTCTCAACTCTCTATCTCTTCCACACAAGATGTATATAAATATTGTAAAATGCGTTGATACCTTCCAAAACACCCGAGCGCTCTAACTTCTCTAACTGTTTTTGGGGACCAGCTCCAGAACTTCTTCAAGCTTGAAAACACCAGAGTTCCAAACCACCTAACGCCTCCAAAATGTGCCGTATGCTAACAAATTCAGACCTTTTTGGTTTCAGATATGGTAAAATTTTGGACAGCTCACAAACGTTTTCGGAACGTACAACATCTAATAATAATGAAAAACAAAACAATAAGAAAAACCCAACCAATGTGTTCACTAATAACAGTATATACATATACGCTTTAAGACCCAAAATCTTAAACAGATCTTAGAGTTCGTTTCCAAAGTCTTTTCCTTCACACTGTGTAAGTACGAGTTTTGGGCGGATAAACCGATAAACCGAAGGGTCCTGCCAGAAAGACAGACAGACACACAAAACTCAGATACACCCAGATACAGTTACAAAAAAACAGAACCACTCACACTCTTGGGCCTCTTTGGTACTTCCTCTGGTGTTTCTCACTTCACGGCACACGTTTTGCATATTTTCTAACTAGGTTGTATACGTTGAACATGCCCACCATCAGCACCATTACGAGGACCATGGGGAAGATTGGAGCGAGCCGGGAAGCTATTGGAAGCGGTCCCTGCAGACGGATCCCTCGGTCGAGGACGTGGACTCCTCCACGGACAGCTACCAGGTCCGCCAGCCCCAGCAGCAGCAGTCGCAGTTCCAGGATCCCCACTATCTCGCCTATCGCAACCAGTGGCAGTAACCCCGAACTGACCTCCAATGGAGACATTATTTATTGTATTTATTTGATTTACATTCGTACTACGATGCTGATTATTAAATAATCCCTAAGGTCCTAGAGCAAAATTAATTTTAGCACAATGAAATGAAATGCCAGTAAACCAATTTTAGTTGTAACCCTTAGTAAAATGCCTTAAATATAAAAAACTAAATTTTAAAATTTACCTTTAATGAGAAATCGAAGAACTGTTTTGGATACATTCGCCGCGAAGAAACAAACTAGGCTTAAGTTATTTATGCAAATTATTTATTGTATTCGTATGTTATATGATGCCTTATTAAAGAAAACAAATTTGATATACGAATTTTTATTGAAGAATGACGGGGATATCGGTATTTATGCTAAAATATGCGTATTTCTTAGGGTTTTTAGCTGTAACTTGCCTAAAATGCTGCCCAAAAACGAATATCCCAGTGATTTAAACATCTGATAACATAACCAAATGATCTTCATCAACTTTTGGGTGATATAAAAAAAATCGAAATTTGGTCAATTTTTGGATTTTTTAAAAGGGGTAACATCACGTTTTTTGCAAAAAATTGGTTAAAAAACACATTTTTAGCTTGGTATGCCACTCGATTGGAAATAAAATTACGAGTTCAACGAGGTATCACACTTTATATTGAGACCAGAACTTGCATTTATGTGATCAAAATAATCGCCACTTTTGGGAGAAAAATATGGAATGGAATTTTTAAATACGATTTTTGGGTAAAACATGCACAAATTGTTGAAAATATGTTATTGAATTCATAAATAAATGTGTGGTTTAAATTAATTCTAAAAATATACTAGTTCCAACCTTTATATCCCTGCAATATGAAATGTATAAATTTTGTCCACACTTATTCTCAAAAATTTCCACTCCGAATTGGCCCGTCATTTCCTGTTTACCTTCTAAGGTAAGATCAACCATATTGGGTTCCCCCAATCAGAATGCGGTCAGTTCTCGCTGAAATTCCAAAAGAAGTTTCACCTTCTGGCCCGTGCATTTGATTCTAAATTCCGTGGCCCAATTCTGGGAGCTACTGCTCCGTAATACCAAATAGGGGGCGACGTACGCCCAAAATAGTCGCGTCTCGGGAGCCCATTCGTTTTTTTGGGGTGTTGCCTAGGGCCCAAGCAATTTGCGCATGCGCAGTTCGCGATCGGAATACCAAATGATATTGGCAAAATGTTTGTAATAAGCCATTAAATTTGTGTTTGACAAACGTCTGACAAGTCGAGCGCCGAATTTATGGCTAATAAATCTGACTGTACGTCTGGCTGAACTGAGGGATTTTGCTGATTTAAATGTCTGCAGAAAGGAAAAAAACCAAACTCTCTGCATACAGTTGAATCTATAAAGTTCAGGGGGCGAAAAGAAAGTCAAATTACATCTAATCAGCTTCACACGCATTCTGACACGTTTTGATATTGACCTTGTTTAAATTAATTGAAAGAAAACCTCTGGCCATTAAAATGCAGCGTGAGGAAAAGCAAATTGACATGCCGCAACACGCTCGTTATCAAGTGGGAGTTTCGTGCAAAGAAATGCTTATCATTAGCAAAATTAAAATCAATGAAATTGGCCATAAAAATTCAATTGACTTGGCCCAATGCGTGGGAGCAAGTCCAAGTTCCAGCTCGGATTGGATCAGATTGGATGGAATGGGGATTGGATGGGGATTGGATTGGATTGGAATGGATTGGAACTGGAACCGAAGGTGTCTGCAAACGTGTGCCACATAATTGATCATAAGAGAAACAGAAATAGTTTAGTTTTCAGCACTTTCTAAACTACGTCTCTGCACAGAAAGAAAAACAGATAATACTTAGCTTTAAACTATAAGATCCTTAAGTAATGATAGGCATACCTTCTTATAATAAATATTTTGTACTAAAATAAAATCAAGTTTTGAATCATAAAAATGTGATATTCTTTGATTCCAGATTTCAGCAATCAGATAAAAGAGAAAGAATATTAAAATCATTTGGAGTTCACATATTTTAAATATTAAAATTAAAAAAAAATTTTTAATGAAAATTTAGTAATACTGCTATTATCTAATGATATTGTTTGACAACCCAAGTCCCAATGAATTTCCTTTTCTTCCAGTGCATTTTCGGACTTTGGATTATGTTTAAAGTGGGCGGTGGTGTCGATCTGGATGTCTGGTAGGTGTGGCTCCTGGCCATATATCATGCAGATACGATCTGTTCTCGATATGTTGCCAAAATAAAAACCAAAATCGCTAAAACAATAAATTGAAATTCTCGATGCGCCCAATGTTTGCTCAATGGGGATTGGGTTCGGGTGGAATAACGGTGAGCAACGTGCAGTGTTTGCGAAAAATCATAAATAGTATCAATGGATTTTGGCCAAAAGGAAGTGTGAGTGGAAGTGGGCGTGGGTCAGGAGATTTGGCAATACGCTTGTTTGGAAAATTTCTAAGCGCGTTCCGCGGAATGCTCCACTAAGTGACAGGCGACGACGTGCAGCTGTCAGGTGAACTGTCAACTCGGGCATTTGATGGAAACTTAATTAATTTAACTGCCGCTAGAAAGTGGACCTGCATCGCCCATTGCCCATCGCCACATCACGTATACGCAGCGTGCACGCGACTCAGTGATCAGTGGCAGAAAATGAAGGGTCGATTCCACATATCAATTCCAACGCCCACGTGTTTAATTTCTGTTGCTTCTGAAATTGAAAAGCACTCATGATTTTCCATTGCACTGCAATTTGCATTTTAGAAAGTTACATGTGTTTTTTCGCTGCATTATAATCAAGGCAGAAAAGTCCAAAAGTCCAAAAAGAAAAAGTCCAAGAAGTAATTTCGCTTCTGCATTTTTTCAGGTGATTTTTAAATAATACCCCATTTAAGCGCAGTCGCTACCCTCCTCCTGTCTATTAATAATTTTATTTTTAATAATTCCAGTCATGATTCTGCTTTTTGCTTGGACGTAGAATATCTGCCTCAACCTCAACACGTCGACTTGTTGTCAACTGGCTTATCTTAGCACGATTCGCTTTTGGTTTGGGCCCTTTATGACTTCTTTTACTGGCAAACACTTCATGCTAAATGCATTTCAAGTTACTTTGTTGCCAAGTGCGATAAAGTGCATGAAGGCATGTGAATGATCGTGCTTAAGGAGTTTGACTAAAGGCCGTCGTAAAGGCGTTTTATAAAGAGAATCGCTTTATCTATTTAATTGTTTTTAAAACGAAATATAAAACAATTCATTTACTAGGTCTCAAAAAAGGTCGTTCAAAATAGCTATACATTATAAAACTGCTAGAAATTAATATTGAATTATAAAAACCAATGAATAAGTCATTAGAGTATATTATTCCCTCGGTTATAAACCTAATGATTTAATAAAGTGCCTAAGATAAAATTAAGGATTTCTTTCAGGGAAAACTAGAAGTCATCAATCTTTTAAAAATCGAATTTCTAAGAGCTTATGAATTAAAAAAGATAACTTGCCTTTTGATCAAGCCATGAGATAAGCACATATAGTATAGATTTCTCATATTAGCATTTAGAAAAGATGCAATATATCATGTTTATAGAGAAAATTGTATATTTTTGTAATATTTAAAGATATATTTTTTAGAAAGACACCTCTGGAATAAAGTCTTCCAGAACAAAAGTATCTGCTCAGGCTCATTATTATGCCAGGAGCTCTCAGCTCACTTACAAGATGAACAACATCAGATAGTCAAAAAAGAGCAACTTTGATCAGCCGACCTAAAGTTGTACGAGTAGTACAGCCATCACAACTAACTAGCGCCAGTCAATAAACAATTAATAAGAAATACCATAATTATTACTGCTTTATACCTATTTACGATGCCATTGGCCTCTGCAGCTTTCGCTTTTTTGAGCCGAGGTGTACGTGAGTTTGATAGAACTCGGGGAGAGGAGGGGGTTGGCGCACTAAACATGAAATTAGAAATTCATAATTGTCGCGTAATACGGCACCAAAAAAATACGTGGACTTCGTTTGCTTCGTTCGCATGCGAAATGGTAGCACACCATTCTAAATTGCTAATGCGCCTTAATAGGCTTCGCTTGTTTTGGGAGTTTCGGATGGGGTTTATTTTTGTTTTTCGGTCTCTTTTTTCAAATTTTTTTTGGGTGTGTGAAAGCCACTGCATGATGATATTTCGTTTGTTGCATAATCCTTCCACACAGAGCGCCCAGGGCCAAGCCAATGAACCCTATCGAATTTTTGCTGGCCCATCTCTAGAAGAATCATGCTATATGCCATATACTCACACCATAAAATTGCAATCTCACGTCGTCTGCGGGGCAATCTTTCGAGTGTAATCTGCTCTGTGGACTCGTGTCTTCGTCACCCATCTGTCATTGCTGGAGCCCCCTAATGGATAAACAATTTCTCGGTAATAAACCATTGTCACCCGGCTAACTGGGTTCTCTGGAACTTCTTCGCTGCCGGAACTGGAGGATTCTATGAGATTCTATGGAGATTCTATGAAGATCTAAGAAACTAATGAGGGATTTTACTTTATAAGAGGGGAATCACTATAACAAACGGTGACTTGGAGTGGAATCATTAAAACTTTAATGAGAACTTCATGTTAAGAACACTCCTTAAAATAATTATTAGTTAGACAAATTTTATCTAACGCTGGGGCTTTATTTTTCTTGGGGAATTCTTTTTTAAAAAAACTACAGTTGTAAAATATTTATAAATATTTTTCTACACTATTAATCTTTCCTATATTTAGTTTATAGATCATATTATTAACCTCCCCATATTGATCATCATGTCTGGAGATAATTATAAAATAATAAAACAAGACGTTTTTATGGAGATGCTTAATAAAATCATTGAAATGACTAAATATTTCTAGCAGGGAATAATATTTCATATTTATTTCAGAACTCAAACTTGAGGAACAGCAAATCTCCAGAAGATCATGGCCATGACCACCTCTTTCTTCCCGCTCTTCTTCGTTGTCAGCTGGTTGTCTGATTCAGGTTCCACACACTATGGGTTCCACAAACGTCGGCACACTTTAAGCGCATGCGCGCCAAACTTACCGCAAACCCACACCAACACACAGTGCGTATACGCAATGTCACGTCTGCGGAGAAGAAGAGGGTTCCACTTGGTAATGGTGTGCGATTGTAATTGAGTTGTTACTGTACCCACACAGTACGTAGTACCCACCTTTCTTCGGGGCCTCTCTGTGTGTGCGTGACTCTTTGGTTTCTCTGCCTTTTTGCATTCTTAATAAATCAACGCGAAGAATATATAAATTGGGCGGCTCGGTGGTCGGTGGCAGTTAGTATTTTCCAGCCAACGGTGCCTCACAGGTGTGCAAAGAGCCCGCAGTGCGAGTGCAAGCATTGGTCTTACCTGATAAAAGCCTGGATATCGAATTGGATTAAAAGCAGCCCCCACCCTCATCTAAAATTACCCAAAAAACCCCTCAACGGATTATAGTGCGTACTCTAAATAAGTGCCCCGAGTGCCGCGTGATATATAGTGACCACAACTGAACAATCTGTGTGTGAAAATGTGGAAAAGCTTATGTTTGCTGCTCATACTGACGGCCACCTGCAGCGCAGGACCCCTGACCGCCCATCAGGTGAGTGTTAAAGTCCAGTAGTCTGTTGTATATCCGATATATCCAGCAGACAGCTTGACCACCAAAGACCACTTCCGTTCGCCTTAACGGAAATGGGAAACTGTTAATGAAATGTTTGCCGGCCCGCCGGGCCATACGATGAAATTTTAATGGGACACAACCTGGACTTGCATTTGCATAAATGAATATAAGTTCCTACATACATACCTCTCCTACATCTTTTGGCCTGGCTTATTTGGTATGCCAAGCGTTTAGCCTTTTTTAACGGCCAAGACTCCAAGAGTTGGTCTAAGGTATTTATAGGCACCTGTGCAGGTGGCTAAATGACAGGTAGAAGCCGGCAAGAATTCGCCAAGCGAATTCACTGAGAATGAGTTCCAAGAATTGCTAATACCAGGGTCTTTAGGTCTGCATTACTCATTGGTGCACCCATTTTTGGGGAAAGGTCTCTGTACGAATGAAAGTTTTCACCCCCCCAAAAACACATTGAAATGCAGCGCCCAAAATAATAAATTAATAACAAATCCATATGGCTAAAATATTATGTGATAATATTTCAACGTTCCATTCGAAAGTGACTTCAATTGCAGTGCGGCCCATAAAAGGGCAGCCACAGGTGCGAAGTGCACAGTGGGCTGGGCTAAGGGTCTTCGTTTCATTTCGAATCGAATCGAATTAACTCGATTCCAGTCGATTCGATTTAATTTTCACTTGCCGACGCGTAGACGGAAACTAGAACACAAGTGAAATTTTTCGGGTGCCTAGTCGATCGTAGAGTCACGTGCTGGATATATGGGATTATCCATGCTCATCACGTACCTCGTTAGCTGAATGGATCGTACAGCTGGCTAATCGTACACGGAAAATAAAGTTAGGATTCGATATGATAGCATACATTTGATCATAAAGATATTCCTGGAACGAATTTTAAATACTTTAATATATTAAAGTATTCATATGAATAAGGAAACATTTTTAAGAATATATACCAAATACACTTTTAAGATATCACATAAGGTATTAAAAAATAAAAATTGATGATGAGATAATTTGCTCATTTGTAAGTCCTTAAGCCTTAAAAACATGTATCTTAAAGTTCTTAATGTATTTTTTAATTCTTATTTTCTTTTTTTAAATCTTTTAATAGAAGAGAAAAGCACCGGCGTTCCGTGAGGAACCAGTTGAGGTGGAAATGCCAGAACAGACTGAAACGGAGGACGAATCATCTCCGGCGGAACCAGCTTCCCTGGGAACCCTTACCCTGCCTAGCAATGCCACCTCCATCCGGTCGGACATCACGGATAACTTTTCGTGTGCCAACAAGACCTATGGTTACTACGCGGATGTGGAGAACGACTGCCAGATCTTCCACGTGTGCTTGCCAGTTACCTACGCAGATGGCCGGGAAAACACTTTCCGCTGGAGCTTCATCTGCCCCGAGGAGACGATCTTCAGTCAAGTTGGTGTCCTGAAATTATCCCTCTTCTTTTGAAATTGTATGACTTCATTTTCTCTACCAGGAATCCTTCACCTGCATGCGTCGCGAGGACATGACCATCGAGTGCCAGGATAGCTCTAGGTACTATGAACTCAATGGCAACTTTGGAAGTGCTCCAGCTGAGGAGGAAAGTAAACCCACTCCCGTGGAGAGTGAGCAGCCGGAGGAGGAGGAGGAGGAGATGGAAGCCAAGCCAGTTGAGGCAGAGCCAGAGGTTCCTGCAGAGCCCGAGGTTGTGCCAGTCAAGCCCATGAAGCCAGTCAAAGTGCAGAAGCCCAAACCCAACCGGAGGAAGCCCCAACCCCACAGGAAGGTTTCAGTTCCAGTTCCAGTGACGGCTGCACCCGTGGTGGAAGCTGTTCCCGAACCAGTTGCCGTCATCGAAACGGAGTCCAAGCCTGTGAAGCCACACCGATTCTCCCTGAGACCCAACAAGGAGAGGCCCCAGGGATTGAGACCAGCAATTACTGCCCCACCAGTGCGTAACGATATCTTCAATGGAATCCGCAAACGTCCGGCTATCTTCAATAAACCAACTACCGTGAAACCCGTGGAGGAAGTTGTGGAAAGTGAACCAGCTGTCACAGAACCTGTGATTCAACTTAGCGAGCCCCAACCTACACTGAAATTGCAGACCTTGTTTGCGGAACCCGAGGTGATTCCCGTTGAGATTCAGGAACCAGAGGTCCAGGCCTCCGAGCCAGCTGTGACTTTTGTTCAACCAGAGCCTGTGGTTGAGGAAATGGAACCCACAAAGGTTCATATGGATACCAAGATCGAGGATGTCAAGCCCATCGAAGCCATCGAAGAGATTCCTGCTGTCATAGTGGAACGTCTAGATGAAACCATGCCTTTGGAAAACGAGAAGATTCCTGAAGAGCAGGAGGAAACTAAAATAAGTGAAGAGGTTAAACCAGAAGAGGTCAAAGCAGAAGAGGAGGTCAAACCAGAAGAAGAGGTCAAGCCAGAAGAAGAGATAAAGCCAGAAGAAGTGATTAAATCAGATGAAGAGATCAAGCCAAAAGAAGAGATCAAACCAGAAGAAGAGATCAAATCAGAAGTAGAGATTAAACCTGAAGAAGAGATAAAACCAGAAGAAGAGATCAAACCAGAAGATGAAATCAAGCCAGAAGAAGAGATCAAGCCAGAAGAACCCATCAAGCAAGAGGAAGAAGTAAAGCCCCAGGAGGAAGTTCAAGCAGAAGAAGAGCCAGAGGTTCCAGCCAAGGTGGAGGAGATCCATGAATCTATGCCCGAAGAAATTAAGTCGGATCCAGCCATAATGGAAACCAGCAACTCACAGGAGGAACCCTTGAATCTGGAAACCCTAGAAGCAGCGAAGCCTGCCGATGCACCCGAGAGCATGCCAGCCACTCCCGAAATGGAGCAGCATAGTCCTCTGGTGGAGGAGATCCTGGATAACAACCATGATGGAGAGGCTCAGGAATCGCTGGGTGGCTTCAAGCCCGTGGATCCTGTAATGGCCGCCGAGGCAGAGCAACTGATCACCGACTTCCTGAATACCCTGAAGAAGAACGAAGAGAAACCAGAGACTGACATGGCAGAGAGTTCTTCACCAGTCGAGAATGCAGATGTATCCATTGAGGAGGCCAAACTGCCAGAACCCGAAATTGTGGACAAGAATGCTTCCGTCGAGGAACAACTTTTGGAGGAAACTGAGGTTAAGAAGACCCAGAAGCCCCAGATGATGCAGGACTCTCCCATCATCAATATCAAGCAGGTGCAGCATATGCCCATGGACTATCAGATTCCAGTTAAGGTGATTCCCCTCCATATCCAGCCTGTTTCTGCTATATATGAGAATTCAGAGGATGCCAAGGGAATTGCTCCCGAGGAGGTTAAAGAAGCTGCTCCCGAGGAGATCAAGGAAAGTGCTTCCGAAGAAGTCAAGGAGGAAACTAACGAGACTATCCAGGAATCTTTTGCCCAAGAAACTTCTCCTGAGGAGATGAAAGAAAGTATTCCCGAGGAAGTCAAGGAGACCGCTCCGGAGGAACTCAAAGAGACTGTTCCACAGATGGTCCAAGACTCCGAGGCTGAAGTGGTATCCAATCCCGAGGAGACTCCTTCCCAGGACGATGCTCAGGATCAAGGAAGTCTAGTCACTGCCTCCTACATGCCCTCGATCAGCATCGATGACATCGTGGAGCTAGTTAAAGAGCGCCTAGATCAGACGCCCAAGAAGGATCAGATGGCTCCCATGGAGCTGATACTTACCCCAGGAGCGGCGGCGCCCATGACCCTGGTTCAGAGCAATCCAGAGCAGCAGGAGCCGCAGGAGGCCCAGTCAACGGAGGAGAAGGATTCGACTGTCGAGCAGGAGGAGGAGCCCATCCTGCCCATCTACAAGCGCATCTCCGCCGCCGAACCCGCCATGTCCAAGGTGCAAACACTGCCTGTAACTGTGAGCAAGGTGGAAACGGAAACGGAAACGCTTCCGGAAACTGAAACCCAACCGGAAGTCCGGAAACTCAAGATGGATGCCCGCAAGCGTCGTTTCCTTTTCCGCGCCGATGCCAGCTAGAGAGGATTAGAGAAAAAGAGAGAGCATACTGATGGACAGATAGCAATCCTGGCAAGGATTATCCTCCCACTTAGCCCGAACCGGAACCCCGTTCACCTCCTAGTTCCCAATACGCTATCCCACTCATTTGCACCTAGGCAAGTTTTATTTAATAATTTTTTGATTTCCTAGTTTTATGGCCATTTTTCCAAGGATAAACGCGCACGAGAGTTGAAGTTTAAGCTTAGAATTGTTGTTCCGACGAGTTAAAGAAACAAATTACAAAAACAAAAATTGCAAAAAAATCTTAAAATAAAAATATTAAAAATCAATTGTTTCAAATTTCTTGCCTAAGGTGGGTAGAATAATTATTACAGGATATTTTTTCGGTCAGCTTATCAACTCCATCGTGCAGAGGTTTGAGTGTCCTGTGTTTTGCCAAATCGCATTCAATCTCTGAACGGTAGAGATGGTCCGCTTCAAAGCAACATAAAATATTTAAAAAATGTTTAATTACGTTTAAGTATATTTTTTATTCCTCATCTTTATTCCTCGTTTACTCATGCTAAAAGCAGATTTTTTAAAGTCTTTAAATTTTGTTAGGGAAAACAAAAGACTTAAAAAACGAACTTTTGATGGGAACTGTGGTACCATTAAATTATATCAAAAAGGGTAACTATTTTTATCAAAAAATTTAAGTAATTGGATGTATACATCCCCTTTATAAAAGACAATCCTGCAATATTCGTAATTTATTATAGAAAATCGTTTACAAATCGCATTAACACTTAGGCTTTGGGTAATTAGCTGTATGAGGCAACTACCAGGTGAGAGAACTACAATTTACAAATACAGTGAACACTGGACGTTAAGTAACTAACACATCACATTGACGAACGCAAGTACAGTGGTACCCCGACTACGCCTCCGTTTCCTGTTCCAGTTCGCCAGCCTGGATTTCCTCCGGCGTTCGCAGATCGATGGCGAACTTTTGGCGCGTGGGCGTGATGGAGTCGCTGGGCGTGGTCTCACCGCCCTCCTCCTCGCCGGCCGCCTCCTTGACCCGTCGCGAGTAATCCTGGAAGGCGGCGGCCAGGGCAAAGGTCAACTTGCGGGCCATCGCCCGACTGTCGCAAACAAAGGCGTGCACCTCGAAGGGGTGCGGACTCGACTCGTCCTTCACCACGATCATGGCAAAGACCCTTGTGTAGACCAGGTCCTGGACCCCATACGATATCGTGTCGATCGGATAGCTCCAGTGATTGATGCTCGCCTTGGGGGCTATGATCTCCAGCTGGACCCCGTCGGTGGACACCTTCAGCTCGCAATTGGGCAGCACCTTGTTGGGCGGCAGGTTCTTGGCCACGCCCACCATTATGTCCACCGGACGGCGGGTGTACTTGATGCCCCACAAGCCACGTGCCACTTCGGAACCGATGTATTTCACCTGCACGGAGAAAAATTATCAGTTACTATGTTTTTCATTTGAATTACAAGCTAGAACTTCAATTATAAAAAAAGTTTTGCATAATAATTCTAGGTTATATGTTAGTTCTATCCATACTTTTCTATCTTAAAAAAAACTATTTTCCAAAACTAAAAATGTTTTTTCTTTTTTTAAAACAAAATTCTGATATTACGTTTTTACATAAATGTTCCTTGGAAAGTTGTATCTTATTTTTATGAATTCGTCATACATTTTACAAATACCTATATTGAAAAGCAATTCCAAATATTTTTACAAAAATGGAAAGTGTTCAAATGGTTTGTACTTTATGATATCTTCTAGCGGACCTTTTTTACTTTGATTAACTTTGTTAGAACAATAATTTTTTAAAGACATTTCCTAAAAAGTAAAATCCCAAAACCAGTGCGAAACGGACTATTTTCCCCATTCTACGTGAGCAAAATAAGATGTTTTTAAGGGAAGTGTGGGATTATTCATCGTTGGCATTGGCTTCCGCTGCGCATGCGTTGCCGTTAGAGTCGCTTCATTTGCATCCGACCTGCGACCGGATGTCCACAGCCAAGCCAAAAAGTTGTTCTGTTGCTGTTTCTGCTGCTCATGTGGTGCCACGCCACGCCCCTTGCCCCCCAACGCCCCCACCTGAAGTTCAGCAGGGCGTGACGCGTGCGTGTCTGGCTCTTTTTTTTGGCCATGTCTCGTATGCGGGTGGTATAGTCATACATATGTCTGCTTTTGTTCGGCTATGCACTTAAAAAAAATTCTTCAATTAAATAAGGAGATATATTTTAACTTTAAACCCGCTTATTCAATCAGATTTAATAAATTAAAATGTATATGAATATTGATGATGAAAAAACTATACTACTTGTTTTGATTGAAAATGGTTAAATAGAGCGAATTGTTATAATATTGAAAGAGCTAAGCTTATTTAATTTAACCAGTTGTATGGAGTACCTAACATTATGATAATCATTTAATATATAAATTTGAGAATTCCATTAAATTAATTTTTAAAAATTAATTTCTTGTGGTGTATTTTCGGTCATATAAGAGGTCTTTATGATCATTGGTACCTGAACTTGCGCCACTCATTTCACAGCATTTAAATACGCATTTCGCAATGTAGACACTTACCTTGAACGTTATGGGCAAATCCTCCACATTGACCTGGCTGTCCAGATCGGGGGTACTGCTGCTGTTTGAGGCCATTCTATGTCTTTAGTCGTATCTCGTGGATTGCAGAGCTGCAGGCGAAGATCCACCGTTAAACGCATTCACCGCAAACCAACTGAAAGGGCGAAAAAAACATGAGGTTGAGTAACGCTAATGTTCCCATTAGGTGTTCACATCTCGGGGATACTTTATGCGGTGCATTGCAGTTCACATCCACCGTTGCATTACCATATCTTTGCCGTAATTGCTGAATTTTACATGGTTTACTTTTTGAACTTATAGGTGACTATATACTTTCATATTCCTCTGAATATCGGTCGACTAATTGTTCTGTTTGGGTTTGTTGTTGCTGTCGCCGGCTTCCGATTGCTACTGAACTCGCGATCGGCGGCAAAAGGTGTCGCAAGTTGTGCCCCAGGTAGCTCCACTCCCTCTCGCTCACCTCCTCCCCCTCCCTGCACACCTGGGCCCCCTTTCATACACTCTCATACAGGTAAAAAAGTAAAGAGCGCAGGCAAAACAAATGGGCTAAACAAAAGCAGCGCTCAGATAACTACATTTTCTCTCACGCCGTGTCGCTGCCTAAGCACAAACAACTGATATTAGAAGCAACAGTTATGCAGAGAGAAAAATAAGTAGCAAAAACAAATAAATATTAAAATATTTTAATATATCTAAAACAAGTTTAAATAACAGAATACATGTTATTTATACACTTATATTTTTTTTTAAAGATTTGGATGTTATATATATATATATATATATTATAATACTCTTAAAAAATAACTGATTTTGTAACACTAAAAAAATCGAGACCATTAAATAATAAATAAAATTTGAGGGTGTTTTTAAAAATAATACTTGGAGTCGGATTTCAATAGGTCAGCAACTTACAATTTCAATTAAAAGGTTTTCTGTGCTCTTCAGAAATGTGAGTTTCTACGAATATCGATTTTTGGTTAAAATTGTTGAAAGTAACATGAAATGCGTTGCTACAGATTAAAGTGTTGACAGATTTATAAATGTTTGCTTCTTCCCTTGTGTTTTATATTATTTTTAAAATCCTAAAGCAATGTTAAAGCAAAAAAATATTTCATAATATTTAAATCCCTAATATATTAACAAAATTATTAGCATTTTTACCACCTAGTTTTTATAGGTTTTATAATTTTTAGCAGTGCATGTGCGGAAACTCCCGTAAATGGTCAAGCGTTGTAAGTCATATCAATAAATAATTATTAGTTAAAATTTGAATGCTGCAACTGATAACCTAGTCAGCTTCACTCAAGCAGAGTATTCAATCACCGACTTGTTGGACCACTTTTTCGCCACTCACTATTTTGCTGCACACTATTTATTAGAAATGCATTATTAATATTTCCTCACGCACCCCGTTGACCACTTCAAATACACAACGAAAAATATAAAAGCATTATGCCGGATATATTTATGTGTAATATGTTCAATGGCCATGCTGCAATAGTTGCATGACTGCCAATTAATGACCAACGAGAGAAAACCGAATTAAAACCAAAACTGAAACGAATGAGTTCATTGCAATGCATTTTACCTGTATGACGTCACTTGAGTGGGAGAGGGGGGAGTTACCTGTGCAACAACCTATTTTCTCCTATTGTTTTTTTTTTTTGTTGAACTCTGACTACTATTTTAATGCCAATGACCTAAGCGGATAACAAGTGACAATGGCCACTAGTACAAACAAAACACGCGACTAATTGCGTTCTCTTCTGGTTTTATTTAAAGCTATTTACAAGTCACATGATCCAGATTTACATGTATGTAGATCACGTTCATGGTTTTTGTGATGTGATATATTACCACTTCTAAAGGCCGCTGTTTAAGCCATTAAAACGTTTGCAACGCTAGTCCAATTTTCAGCAATTTTCACCAATATATGTTTTTAAGTTCCGCTCACTTTTTCACTCTGCTTATCTTGGTTTACTTTGGGCGTATTGCATAGTTGCAGTCAGAAAACAAACAAGTGATTGTTTCAGTTTCTTGTTGTTGTTAAAACCCTAAGTACAGTGAAAAAAATTGTTATAATTTCTAATGGAAATAGTATTGTTCGGATTTTAAATAAAAAGATTTAAGTAAAGTCCTATTAAAAAGTAAGTATATGTATGTATCATAATACCATCAACCATAACAATAACAATATCAGACACATTTACGAGTACTCTAGCACTAGCAGTCCAATTTAGATAATTTTCCACTGGACATTTCAGTTTAAACGGTGCCAAAGCCGGAAGCTGCTCATATGAGCATATCTCCTCTGCTCATATAATACATGTATAGTACATCTTTTTTATCATAATTTGTTTACGGGCACTGATGATTACTGTCATTTGTCGCACATATAGATTTGCGTATATGGAGCTTGAACTAATTCCCTAATACTCACAATGACTAATTCACCATTCTTAGCCTTTTCTATTTACACTTTATTTTTTTATGGCCACCACTTTCAAGTTCCAATTGCTGTTATCACATAGCGAAACATTTACCCATTCGTCTAATCTTATCACTCACTAGCTCACGCACACGAGGGGAATTAGGCCAGGTAAAAAGGTAAAAGATTTATTTTTGTTTTGGCTGAAATGGGTAGTGCCTCCAGTATAAGTATTATAAAATGCTTTAAATATTTCTGGTGATTCCCGATTGATTGTGAGGGGAAGTCGCAATGCAATTACCGATCTTATCGTGGTATTGTTTTCTTGAGCACCTGTTTCCTCGGCCGGTAAACCCGCGACTAACGAAAACCCCAACGATCGTGGTCAGTGATGCCGCTCTAGCTTTTTATCGCCCCTATCTAATCAGTCCTTAAGTTAAAAAGCTTATCAAAAATTAGTTGTTTTTGTAAATATTTTTATATATTTTTTAAAACTTATTTATTTTTGGTTTTTTATTTCTTTTTATAGATTTTTACTTGAAAACTATGACATCACTGGTTTAATTATTTTTGTTCCCCCTAAGCCAATACATAAACCACATCTAAGCTTAAACTACAAAAAGCTTTTTGATAAGTATGAAATATAAAAAAGAACAATCTGAATTTCTAAAAAAATATTACTAAATATCCGAACATATTTATAATCAGGAAAAAAGGTTAGTTTATATATTTATAAGATAATTTCCTCCATAAAGAACATCGTGTTTATTTGTTAGTGGCTTAAAATCCAAGATTTGGAAATTATTGTAATAAAACTTACCAAATGCTTACCAATTTTTCGAAAAATATACTCAAGAACCCATCTGAACATAATTTTATCAAAAAGCAAGCTCTTTCTATTCGTTTACCTAAAATTCTGACTGGCTCTTTACTTTCCAATATATTTATATTTTTTATCTGGTAAAATAATGAATTGCAAAAGAAGCCATTGCTTCCCCCTAAAAAAGAATCACGTTGTTCAGCGCAGCCTCGACTTGCGACTTCGTGGCGCCCAGGCGCGGAATTACCTGAAGATATGTTGTGCTAATATGTTTGTTCTTTTGCTGCTGCTTTTGGACACCTGGAAGGTAGGATATTTATCTAATCGTTTGTACTATTGCGATTACTTGCGGGTCATCGGTGTGTACTCCATTGCCACCGTTATGGGTCTGAGTGCCCTGGCATGTTTCGGGAAGTATTTGTGGTTAATCTGTGGCGACGGGCAGGTGATCGGAACGGAGAGCCAGAGGTGCCTGTTGGATGGCAGCGATGGTCAGTTTTCCCTTGGGAGTACTTATGCAACCTATCCAATAAATAAATTCAGTTTTCCCCTCAGAAAACTCCTTTGGAACAGTTTATACACGTCCTGTTTCAAAAGCACGGAGAAACAAACCGGAAGTCGATTTGGATGTCAGGCCCATCGTCAATTGGCATTCCTCTTACTTGGATTCTTGTTGGTGGCCTAAGAAGACCGCCCTTATGAAGCGGAACCTACCGAAAACATGCTGTAAGTCACCGTGTGAGTCGGTTTGCCGGGAAGATTTCATCACCGACATCCGGAATTTGCCCGCTTTAATGAGGCGGGCCAGAAAAGAACGTAGAGCAGCAGAAAACTCGAATGCAGATGTAATTCGGGACTGCTACAAATACCAACTCTTTAAGAAAAAAAACCCGTACTCATTTATTTCATTCCCGGCTGAAAACTTCAGTGGCATAAGAGATTGTGGAGTCAGCAACTCGAAGGACATCTCCCCAAACAAGATGCTGCAATATGTGTCCAACCTGAGGTATTGGTTATCAATCACAATATTGCATCGTTTGGTCACTGAAATTGAATATGTGGATGAGGTATTTCAAGAACTCGGCTTTTACAACATCAAGATAGGAGAAATAAGTCTGGAGAGGCTGAAATTGATAGCCGAGGACCGGTGCTTCGTGAGGACCTATCTTCCGATGCTGCCCAAGATGTTGGCTTTTCTGCAACCCTTTAGAAACCAGGAGTATCTGGTGCTGCGCATTAAAGAACTAGCGAAGGGCGACCACATAGCCTCCTACGAACGGAGATACACCAGGAAGGCGGACTATATTCAGGATTGGCTGGACTATCTACCCACCGATGCAGCCATATTGTTCCATTTGTTTTGCGTTTACCTGGACAGCCAATTGATGCCGAAGCCACAGGACGATGGACAAAGACCTTTTTTCTCCCGTTTTGTGATCATGTGGGATAAGAGAACAATCATGGAGAACGTTGAGTCCTTGGTGAACAACAAGGCCAACTGCGCCATCCTGGCCACCAACAACCTGGATCAGCTTCCCAAGTTCAACTTTATTAGCGATAAGAAGCTCCACGATTCCGTTTACAACAGCGACAACCTGTTCTATGTGATCATCCAGTTTTTGACCTATATGCGGGACAAACAGGGATCAGAGCTGGAGGGCGTTAGTCTGGGCAAAAATGGCATTAACATTATGTGCGTCATCGAAGACTGAGCTGTTCTCAAAGCCCAAAAATTATTTATATTTATAATCACATCTTATTCGTTAGTGTTGGATTCAGGAGTAAACAAATAAACACCAGACATTTACAGACAAACATTTCCTATAAAGGAAAACCAACCAATGATTGATCCTTTTGGAAATTGGCAGCAGTTAGGAACTTTTATTTTTTTAGGAACAGAATGTTTATTAAAATGTTTATCTCGGCAAAAGGTAGAAATAAAATATAACTAAGTATTTTTAACGTTTATCATTTTCTTATAATTCAATTCTTATAATTTTTAGGAAATCAATTCAGTGCAATCCGTGAATTGCACCCAAGTTCACAACCATTTAAATAAAGTATTTTTTTGCAGGAAATGGTATTTCTTACACATGTTGTATGGTATGGTATGGTATTTTTCAGGCCGGGTGGTATCTTCGATTTATATTA